AAGAGACAAGTTCGGGGAAACCTTTTTAAAAGGATAGGGGCGGATTTGGGGAGGAAAAAGGCCGAAAAAAAATATGAGCAAAATTGGAAGGGTAGGGGGGTTTTTAAAAAAGAAAGTGTGTAGTTTTGACGGGGGGTTCAAAGGGGGGACCCGAAATTTTTCGGCCCAGTCCCAATTTTTTTGGTGGGCCCCTGGACCCCGCTCCTGCCCCCCCCCCCCCCCCCTCCTTGTCGCCTCAACCACGGAATAGACTCGGGCCGCCCTGTGCTTGCGCTAGGGAGGCTCTTCAAGGCTCCACCACCACTGGATGACATAAGCCTTATGGAGCTCAATTGCTGCGGCCGACCGCCAACAGCCGGCTGCCGTTGGCGCTGGCTGGCGGGCTGGCAGATCGGTAGGTAGTCGCTGTGGCAGTGGCAGGCACGAAGCTCTACGTAACTCCATCGCAAGCTCCATCCACCATCCACCATCCACCCAACGACTGATTGCGAGTGCTCGACGCCGTAACCTGCAGGCGACATCATCCACCTCTCGCGCCACCTTTCGACCCTTCTGCGACCGTCGACTTTGTTTTCTCAATTTTCATCCCATCCGCACAGCAGACATAGAATCATGTCGATCCTGCCACTCATCACGTTCAAGGCCGGCATGTGCGATGTCGAGGTGAGCCGCCAGACACCCATCCACCGAGCCGCCTCGTCGACCGCCACGTACTGACCTCCTCTTGCCTTGCAGTCCGAAGGAAACCCCAGAAAGGTGAAGCCGCAGCCCAGGCCCGGCTACATCTACCTCTACTCCGACGATGGTTTGTTCCTCCACAGCCTGCTTTTGCTTGCTTGCTGCTTGCTTGCTTGCTGCTTGCTTGCTTGCTTGCTTGCTGGGGTTGCTGGTGCTAAGACAATCTTGCAGACCTCATCCACTTTTGCTGGCGCGAACGCGATCAACCCATGGACGACCCCGAGCTCGACCTCGTCATGGTGCCCACGGACGGCCAGTTCATCCCACACCACAGCGGCGACAAGGCATCCTCCAAGACGAACGGCCGCATCTTTGTCCTCAAGTTTGCCTCCTCGTCCGCCCGACACTTCTTCTGGCTGCAGTCGAAGCCCCAGTCGCCCAGCGGCGATCCCAGCTGGTTCAGCCCCCGGGATCGCAAGATCGGAGACATAGTGCACGAGCTGCTGCAGGGCGAGGACGTCGACGTGCAGCGCGAGCTCGCGCCAGTGTCGGGCGGAAACCAGGGCGATGACGACGATGACGACGATGACGAGATGGAGGATGCCGACAACGACAGGTCCGGCCGCGCTGCCTACAGGGGCGGCGGCGGCGGTGCCGGCGCCGACGCCACGGGAGGAGACGTCCGAGAAGAGGGCGAAGATGCCCGAGAGGGCGGCAGCGACGGAGCACGAGCGTAGGTCATACCCATGGTCGTGTTGGCAGTGATGCCGTGCGGGCGATTTGGTGTCTTCGGTGTCCATGGTCTCGTGCAGATTGGGGCCTCGAGGCGGGGGGCGGGGGGCGAATTGGAAGACGAATGCCGGAGACAGGGGCATGGTGTACTTTATTAGACAACCCAAAAGACTCATGGTTCGGGGCTCTACTCTTTCTTGCTTGGCACATGGACATGGACATCACGGCGCGCGCGAGCTTGTTTGAGGAGGGAGCGAGGCTGACACTGTTGCAGAGCTGGTTCGGGTGCGCGCGGGGCGCCCACGGATGCCGATGCTGCCGTCCGGAACTTTTTGCAGTCATTACAAGGGAACGCCGGACTCGGCGGTGCGCAGGGTGGCCAGCAGCAGCGCGCAGGCGACGCCGACAAGGCTTTCCCGCATCTCAACCACCTTTTGCCCAACGAGATCACGATTCCCATGCTGCGCACAGCGTCGGAAGAGTACATGGACAGCCTGCTGAGCTTCCTGCCGCCGGCCATCCTGGTCCTCGCCACTGGGTCCGGCGACCTGGGGGATACGGAGCCGACGGCAGACGCGGCGGCGGCGGCCATGGCGTCCCTCAGCGTGGCGGAGAAGAAGACTGTGCTGGAGAGGGTGTTCAGGAGTCCTCAGTTCCACCAGGGGCTGGGTAGCCTGACGATGGCCATTCGCGACGGCGGCCTGCCCACGATCGCCGAGGCTCTGACGATCAAGGTCGCCAATGGGGGGTACCTTCAGGGCGGCGGGATGCCCCTCGGTGGTGGCGAGGCTGTGGAGGCTTTCGTTGAGGGCGTCAAGAAGACTGTGCAGGAGAAGAAGGAGTAGGCGGATGGGCCGGTGGCTGCAGCTATGCAAGGTAGTTAGGTGTTGATGAGGCCTCATGTGTTAGAGGTGTAGTAGAGGTGTAGGCTCCATGAACCTTGTGTTGGATGGTCAGGCGGCCTCCCTGTCAGATTGAAAACAGATGGCAATTTCAACTCTATACTCTCTCTTCTCTTGTACCCTCTCTTGTCTTGAATGGATCATGAGTCTGTCCATTCGATCTTGTCAAGTAACCTACCTTGGTATCTAGAATAAGGCAGAGACAGATGACCCCCACTTTCGCGCAAACAGTGCCCCCACTCTTCAACGTCACTCTGGTCCCTGAGCTCCTACAGCTTCAGGCATCTCAGTCTCAATCCCGGCTTCTCAACTTTCCCATCTCCCATCTCCCATCTCCCATCTCCATCTTCCCACCCCAGCCTACCCACAGCCGCGATCATGGCCGACGCAACAATGCATCCGCCGTTGCCCACGTCGGAAGACGCATTCGCCCAGGACGACCGCATCTCCTTCTCTCGCCTCGATAACAAGTACATTGCCGTCAACGACGAGGACGGCACCGAGCTCGAGTTCGACCAGGCCACACGAAAATGGGTCCTGCCCCCAGACCATGACGACGACAACGAACGAGAGCTGCAGCAACAGGACGCCCACCTCGCCGAGCTCGCCCAGAGCGGGAGCACCACCACAGCCCAGGACGTCAGCGCGTCACGGAAACGCAAAGATGCGCCGCGCAACGGCAACGAGGTATGCGCCGCCGTGCACGAACCCGGACCGCGAGGCCAGCCCCTTGCCGAGGCCGGGCCCTCTCTCTCCTTTGTCTCCTCCTCCTCCTCCTCCTCCTCTTCTTCTCATGGCCACGCAAGCAGCGCCGCGGCAACCGTGACCCCCTCGGACAGACGCACTAACCAGGACCCGTTCCTCCGCCAGGACCCCGACGACAGCGCCCCCGACAGCGGCAGCCAGACGCCGGCGGAGGCGGCGCCCGCCAAGCGGCCGCGGCCGGCGAAGAAGCCCAAGGCGCCGCCGGCGCCGCGGCAGAACACGGCCGTCTACGTCACGGGCCTGCCGCGCGACGCGACGGCCGACGAGGTGCACGAGCTCTTTTCGCGCAAGGCCGGCGTCGTCGCCGAGGAGATTGACAGCGGCCGCCCGCGTATCACGATGTACACGGACGAGCAGGGCGGCTTCAAGGGCGACGCCCTCGTCGTCTTCTTTCATGCCCCCAGTCGGTCGACATGGGCCATTATGCTGCTCGACGACACGGACCTGCGCG